CGTAACTTTACCTGTAAGTTTTCGAGACTCTGAAATAACCTACCACAAACTATCCGCGCGATAAAATCTGTCCTATTATTTGTTCGCTCCATTAATGCATATTGCTCCTCTGAAAATGTATTGTATGCTCTAGCGCCTGTAAGTGTATCTTACTCCTCAAGTGAGATTATCGGAACTTCAAATGTTTAACCACTTACTTGCTATCACTTTACATTAACAGTGTCACTAGTAACTCTACCACGTTTGAATAATGTTTATCATGAAAAGGGGTAAACCTGTAATATATATATTGGCAATCATTGTTTTGTTGTTCCGTGCTCTTTGATTTATTCTTACTTTCTCTGGTTGTAGATAATCATCAATAACCCGCTCTGGCACTGGAAATTACTTTGAAGAACACCATTCATTATTCATCAGCCTATCCACTTCAGAAAAAATCAAAATTTCCCTGCTGATGATTGGATTGCCGTGATACATGTCATAAACAAACTATTAAACTATTACTGAACCAGCAAACATAAAACAATGTTATTTCACTTGTTTGTTCTCTACATCAAATGATGCTAATTATATCAAACTGATCATGCCTGTAAACTCGTTTGATTTCTGCAATTACTATTTTCAGAATATATATATATATATATATATATATATATATATACATCGAAGTGACTACGATTACAAGTGCTTTATTAATAGGGATATTCTTCCATAATATATTGCCTGAATCTTCATAGTTGAAACCATGAGTCAATTGAAGCTAGACCACCATGGAAAACCTGAAAACACTGGACCCTCGTTTCGTCTTATTGTGAAACTTCTCAGCAGTACTCATCCATGATACCGCGTAGCGAGATTCGGACCCAGGAATGTTGTCTATGTTTTTAGTAGTTAATAATGCACAAAAATAGTGACACATAAATGCTTCGAGCATTTTTTTAGTTTTCACTTGATATAATTACATGTTTCTATTGTTATTTTATGCAATATATTCGAAGTGGCAAATTCATTCTATGCATTTATAAGTGTAAGCTTATTTGGTTTCGGTATTTATTGTAGCATAACTAGCTTATGAGTTGGTGTGGTTCTAAGATATTTAATAGTAACAGGACATTTTGTATTTGTAGCGTAACTATTATATCCTAGCGAAGACATTAGTACAGGTAACTCTCAGGACCTAGTAATGGACTATTATTCTATCTATATTCTTATTGTTTAACTATTTAATAATTAGATTGTGTATATCTATATTCTTTTAATTATGATCTTCATTTCGACCTATGAATTATTAGAATACGGTTTTATGTCCCTAAATTATATTCAGTTTATTGATTATTGCCTCCCACGTTCACAGACACATTTGGCTTGATCTTTTACAAATATTATTTTCTAATTTATGGTGTGATGCGATCTGTTTGTCTGGTATATAAATCAAGCATGCTTGAAATAAATGATTCGCACAGCAGAAGCTATAATTTGTGTTCTGGACTCAATTGGAAGGGCTAGGCGAACAAGGGACCAATAAGGTCGCTAGACGGCCCATACCGGTCGAACGTCATTGATTTGGCACATTGTCAGGATTGTAAAAGTCTTATTCCGATTGACGGATAACTCACGTATTGAAAATCCAGACATAAAATCACAATAAATTGGCATACGTCCTATTCTTTTATAATAAATTAACAGTTAAAATTTATTATTCTCCATCCAATTCTTTATTGGGAAATCCTTCCCAGTTCGGCCCATTTGTTATTCATCCCTTTTATGTCTGCTACCCATTACCGACGAAGTGTGTATTTCGGTCTTCCACTATTTTGTTCCCTTTCAAAATTCCAAATTATCGCTTGCCTTGTGATGCAGTTGAGTGATTTCCCTAATGTATGGTGTGTTTTCCTAACATCCTCTTCATTTGCCACCAGGTATTTTGAAAATTTGTATATCATATTTTGAAATAGTTTACACCAACCAGTATTTATGTTTTTCTATTTCCTTGACCTTTTCAACAATATTAACATAGCCTCTTCAAGAACTGGAAGAAGAACGGACTAGATAGAAAGGGAATGTAAAAATCAATTACACTCTATTGACATTCGTTATATTTTTTAGTTTCACCTCACAGACTAATTTTATTTAGAAAACCATTGAGTCACAACATGCCCTGATTATCTGTTTCGTTCCAATATGGATGCTATCATAGTCATGATGTATTTTGAGTGTAATCTAGGACGTTGAGGCAGTTAACTGGAAACAAGATATTGTCATGAAAAGCTACATTAATATAAGGCATCGATTTGTCTTGAATGCTGAACCATTCATTGTGTTGACTACACTAAAATAAAAAATGTCGTTAAAGAAAACCAACCTTTTAAATAATACAATGATACATTACAGACAATAAACAATACTAGATTCTGACAAGAATTTAGCTTATACAAATGATCGGAAGGGGATAAATTATGAAGCGAAATAGGATAAGCTATGAACATATAACACGAATAACACATGTAGGACATTAAAATAAATGAAACTAACCCAAACGACTGAATACAAATGAGTAGCATAGAAAAACGACAATGAGTAAACATAGAAGGACTTAAATTCAGAGTGAAAAATATATGACATTGTAGTGTATAAAATAGTTTCTCAATTTGTACGACTCACGTCGACTAATATTTCCAGCTATTTCGAAGTCTGTGTCCGAATTTCCTATTTCCAAGTTTAGTCTTTTCGTGATAATTAACAATCATCCTTTATAACTATTCTCTATCTAAAATGATGATTTCGGTCAATATTGTTTTCAACTTCATCCCTGCAAAAGTGATCAACAAACATAAGTAGACTGAATGAAGTCCTTTGTAAAAGTACTTTGTTTTTCTTCATGAAAAATCACTCTCTGTTCTTTAACTCTGTGCTCCTTAACTTCAGATAAGGATAACATTATTATAGAAGTGAGAAGTCGTGAGCCGTGAAATTCATTCCGTGATACGTTTGAGACCAATATACACCTGAGGGAACGGATGATAGGTCGCCCTAAACCAAGGATTGATTGAAATTGCAAATTACCGTTGTTGGATGTCAGGTTGGTAGTTTGAATGTTATTTGTTTGCGTGTAAGACCGACGTTCTTTTGTTTGAGTCTCGTAGGATCGTGGATAAGTACGGTTTAGGAGTCCTATACGGTTGGGAAAATACTCTGATCTCCACAAATTCTCAAAAGGATATTTCAAAGAGTTTTATTGTTGTTTATTTAATTAACCTGATCGTTGTTATGTTTAAGTATTATTTAAGGATTTTCTGAAGACTAATCTGATTATCGGGAGAAATTCGTTGTATGCTGACGTTATTTTAAAATCAGTGAAAACTAGTCCGATGCTTCGTCTTACTATGCGATTACTTTTTGAGACCTTTCGAGAAATCATTTTCACAAACTTTTGTTTTCATTATTATTAAAATCATTTCTCACTGGTGAATTTCCTAAAGACAAATTCCCAAGGTTCAAATTAGGCTCCTGAATGACGGAGTTTGGTTATGATGGTAACGAGAGTGTTTCGCTGTGGAACTCGATAGTACACGGAAGATTCCACATCTTCTATAGTTTCTCCGTCAAGTCTGGTTCACTTGGCGTTCACCATGTTGGATATGATGGTTTTGCTTTTTCCTAGGTGTATGTTGAAGCCTATTGATGCAGTAGCTGCTGCTACATTAGTTATCTTCGTCTGTATTTGTTCGCGTGTATGAGATAGGATGGCTAGATCATGTGCGAATACCAAATCATCTAATTGACTTTGAGATGTTCATTGTATTCCGTGCTTCTCCTCAGATATTATAGTCTTCATAATCCAGTCAATCATCAGAAGAAAGAGAAAGCTATGTGTAGATAGTTAGAACAGACTTATTTCGCAATACGTTTTTGATGCTATTTGTATTTTTTCAACTACTTCTCATAATTTGTAAACAGAGAGTAATTGTAATAACAACAGGAATGAAGATATGATGGTGTTTTTAAGAGACAATTATTAGAAGGTGTTGAATTGAAGTATTTTGTGTATAGTTTTTGTATTTAACGAAATCATTGTGTGATTTTCATTGAGCAACAAAATTGGTTTATCCTAAGTCTTTTTTATCTTCTACTTATAATGTTCACACGTTGTTTAAAACTAGACATTTATCCTAATCACTGGAAAACAACATATATTGTACTGCATTTTTAATCTGGAATTGTGATCAACATTCACAAATATACATTTTGTAAATAACAAGATTATAGCAACACTTTTACGGCTTATTTCGATGAAGGTTAAATTTTGTCAAGCTAACCGACAGTGTTATTCGGATAGTAAGAAATCGTCTATTATTTTGTATTATTATAATCACTATCATGTCTGTATAAACGTGTACGCTTGATCACATGTGACAGCTTATGCACATACCTCTTACTAGCTTGAATATCGCCTAATGAATCATTTTCTTTCCCACATATATGTACGTTCCCATCATATTAGCAGCCTTTGACTTGCCTTGCTGGGCCGTAGATCTATTTGATTACAAATTCGCTTATATGTAGTGAACGAGAAAACGAGTGGGGAAATCGAAAATATGTAGGTACGAAATTACAGAATATCTCACTACATGGTAAATAGTTAATTTGCGAACTGTCTCAATCTTAAACGTTCCTTCTGTAAATAACAGTCCATCGTCTACGATTATTAATGTTCTTGCATTTTCTTACCGATTGGGTTTTGTTCCCGTTCTGACTCAACAGATCTACTGAAATAAGCGCAAGAATGATAGATCCTGGGTTCAAGTCTCGTGAGGTGACAATATGGATGCGCACTGATGAAGAGTGTCACAATGGAAAAAAAGGTCATCAAACAGTGCTTCCAAGTTTTTCATGTTGGTCTAGCTTCAATTGACTAATGATTTCAACTATAAAAGCAGTTTTGTTAAGTTTATGGAGGAAATAACTGTTGAATGTCAAATTTTGAATGAAGTTTATATAACCAGTTATTGAATTGATAAACTGAATAAACATATATATGTATTCAAGATAAATGATGATTAATGCGCTACATAGATTTAGATTAATGAGTAATATCAAATCAAAGTAGTTGATTAGTAGTATATGTGTATATATAGAGAGAGTTTCATTTTCAGTATAAATAACATCGACTTTTCAACTGTTCACGTTGATAGCGATCTGTACGACTATTTAGGACGATACTTGACACCTTTCTTTTCTCTTTGGTTTATTGACTTCTGTCCATTACGTGTATGAACACGATTAGTTTGAAAACGGTCTTCGGGAATACTTTGCACTATTGGGCACAAGTTATGTGGTTTAACTTTATATGGTTTCTCATTAATCCAATTACCCCTAAAACAATAAACACAATAGAAGTTCAGTTACATTTAACTATGAGAACAATAAAAAGATGATTGCAAACAATACCATTTCTTTTCAAATCTTCAGTAATCACTTACCCTGGACCATAGTAACACACGACTGATAGACCGTACCTTTGACAATTCGCAACTCCACATCCAATGTCTGTAGTTTTAGCCCAAACCATCTGAAACGAAATGTGAACAAGGAATTAATGTGATCGATCGATCAACTGCAAGACATTTCGATTGTGTTTCAATATGATGTGTGATGTTACACTACTTGTTAGTGGAGATAATTTTGTCACCTCGAAGAAATACACGTGAAAATTCCAGTATGTGTACAATGATTATGTTTAAACTTGGTGCAGTTATGATAACGAAACACACACTCACTCATTCACATACTGACACGTTCACTCATTCTCTCTGTCTCATGTGGACAGTCGCAATCATTTCAATGAGCACAACATCATGATTTTACATGTACACAGAATGAATTTCTATTGATTAGCCTCAAATATTGTTTGTGTGAATAGTATTGACAGTCACTCGTAATACAAACTGGTCAGAGACAAATTGCCTATCTGTTGCATTCCACCGAATCACCCTACCTCTCAACCAAACACAAATATTCAAATATTATCAAGTGTACATAAATGCAATGATCGTATTATGTGTATATACATGTGTTTTCGAGTCACTTTTATACAAAAGTGAAATCACTAAACTGTTTCACACATTCGTTGTGCATTATTAAAAGTGTGAATGGTGTGTGGCTCATCACTGTAGGGAATATTATATTCAACTGGATGAGAATGGACTTACTTGTTTGTAATGCACACATTCAGGACAGTTGTTCACACTGTAATTGTATAATTTGTGCTCATTGAACCAAGCATCCACTGCTCTGAATCACAAATCAATGGATTGAATACAAATGAGCTTACGAATTAATGGTTGAAAAAAAAGCTATATTCTGTCCAACCCATGTGAATTTTTTCGAACGAGGTTTGCCTTGACGTAAGATGCAATAGCTCGCCAATGATTGTGCCTGTTGAGCTAGATCGTAATTCCACTTCTTCAAATAGACGTTACATTTGATATTTTAAGAAAGTATTGAATAATAACTTACTAATTTTGACATATATTCAGCTGGAGGTTGTCCATTAACTTTACAGTCAACTAAATCCTGTCTATATTTTCTGTGTAGTGCAAGTAGTTTTCTACTATTCTTATTCAAATCTTTGTTACAATAGACATCTTCATGAAAGAATAAAAGAATGAATAGTTTGCACGTAAGACACAGTAGATTTGAGTACATGGTTATTGAGGTCCAATCTGTAGTATGTATAATTCAGTCTTTTGTATATATATATATATATATATTTCTGATTAGTAATATTATTGAAAAAGTAAACAGTCAATGTGTGTGTGTGTAATTTTGTGTTGTATAGATAATAAGAAATTAAGAATATTCGTCTTGTATTGGCATTAAGAAATTTTCACCTGGATACAATTATGGTGTTCTTAATTTTGTGTCATAGAAAATTGAAGCGTTTCCTTTTTTTTTTCGTTTTTTTACAACGATCAATAGTCAGAGACGTAGATATCAAAGTATTACTTATATTAGTTTAATAGTGTACTATTTTGTCGGTGAGTACTCAACTGTATAAGTATCATTGTTAGATTAACAGAAATACAGTCAAACAAACTGTGAACATAATGTCAACTATCTCCTTATTATTAATTCAAACTATTTCAAGTCTAATTAGCTTACTTATATTCAGAATATCATAATATGAAATGGATAGGGGGTTTAACATATTACACATTGATCATCTATATTAGATATAGATTACTTTAAATCTATTCTACAAAGTTACAATTGAATGAAAGAATGTTTCTTATTAAAAGGTACAGGTCAAATTTCGATCTTCTATAAAAGGATTGCATAAACGAGATCATATTATTTGACTCGTTATAACATTCATTGATTTGAGTATAATGTAGTATTAATGATATAATATTGTTCTGTTTAATTAACATGGACCGTGCTCTGTATGATATGTAATATGTAATCTGTTATAACACGAGATATATGATTTCATTTTAATTAATAATCAAAATGGGTGTATAAATCAATATATAGATGGGTGTATTTCCGATTAGAGTTGTCGTCGTGTTTTGACATCGGAAATCTTCACTTATAGATAGATAGATAGATGGATAGATAGATAGATAGATAGTTAGGACATTCACAAGAAATACTGTTGACCGGGTCAGTTAATCAGTCAACCGAATGTCAGTCACTTGCCTCATATTATATTGTGTTCCGATTGAAATTCTCTATACACAAACGTTGAATGAGTTGTGTGGACTTATTTTAAAAAATAACCAGATTGAATTTAATGTCTGTCTAATATGTGATCCAGTGAGTTCTTACATACGATCGACTATTGACAATTGTCTATGAGAACAATGCATCGATCGCATTGTTTGTGAATGTATCAGACGGAATTTCAGCATATTCAATTCAATTACAGTTGAGTACCTTGATATCTATCTATAGTGGTATAATATCACAGATTGACATCACAATTTCCTCACCTCTAAATTACGTAGTTGATGTGATTTCATCAATCATTCTATTATTCTCTTAAAGAAATCAGAAGTTCGTACTATTGTAATGTGATATACTAAGCCTAAACAACTATTCAACACTCTAAGCATTGAATCCTATTGATATCGATCCATACTGAATTCAAACAAAAATGCTTTTTTATTATGAATCAAAGTGACAATAAATACTATTGACGAAGGAGAAAGTTAGAACAATAAACTTTTCAACGTTAAGATATATAAACGATAGGAAGATACAAAAGTGTAAATGATGAATCCGTGGAAAACACCATACATAGTGATTTCAACCCTTATACAGTATGAGTGAAATTACAAGATTTCATAGTGGTACAAACACTTTTCGTTCATGTTGACGAATCGACTTCACTTAATTGGAGTGCATATATAAAGAGTAATTAAATAGTTTACATATAACCTAAATATAGTTTGATACAAGTTATCATATTGAATGAATTTCCACAAATGAATAACATCTACAACTAAAGGCAGATGTCTGTCAACTAACACCAAATTCAGCATTTTCATTACAAAGATAAAGATATTTCTATTAATATTATTCACGTGATGTAGCAGGTGAAATAAGTATGTATCATGCTGAATGACTGTCTAATTCAGATTATGGTGATACCTTTAGCACCAGAAAAACGAATCAGAAAAATATTAAGTCATGTAAGTGATTTCGGTATCATACAGATTACAAAACCTACTTTCTTTCTTAAGCTTAACAAGACAGAGTTTATACTCGGAAAATTCTGATAGTTGGAATGAAGGATAAGTGTTCATGTAGACTGATTTGAAGCATTGTTCACATGTTTATTCGTAACATTTGAAACGTACTTTTCAATACTTTGGAAACATTAAATTTGAGAAGGAAGAGGTGAGTTATATTGTAAATCAGATCACTAGTATGTGAACATCGGTTTGCCAGAAGTACATATGATCATCTCTGTCGTTAATAGCCGCGCAGAGAACAGTCAAATCGATCATGTAGTATAAAATTCAAATATGATTTAACCAATAATTGCATCGTTTATTTAGTGTAGTGATACAGTATCTGTAAGACGCTTAAAGTTTCCAATTGCATAAAAAACATCTATAAAACACATCAATAGTTAACTACTGATACTTTTCCATTGTGTTGTCGCATACTTGAAATCAGAATAGTTATAATAAAATATTAACGTTCTATCGGTGGTTCAAAATAGTACATCGATGGAAAACTAGTTCACAAAGGGGAATTCAGAATAGTTCAATCAGATTTTTCAAAAAATTGTTGAATGTGTTATTTTGTTCTACAATCGATTCTTCATAAAACGAAAATATTTACCATGAATGGAAACCAATTCAATGAAATACCCTCTCGAACAATGCTAATCAAACCTCTTCGAAACTATATCCAGATGGTTGCAAAGGAGTTCTCACCAATCATAGGAATTTATTATTACGATTCACTGAGTAAACATGTCCAAAGTGCAAATTCTAATTAGTCATTACAAGTAAACCACAAAATTATTCCTTATTCAGAAATGAATTGTGATAAGTACATATCTGAAGGAGTTGATATGCATTTGACAGACAGTTGTTTGACATCGCCGTGCACGTTTCTACGCCCAGATGTTTTCGTACCACTACAGATTTGATTCTTGATCATAGATACACCAGAGAATCCATATGATGTTAATAACAGCTCCGACTGCTACTATACAAAGCATGCCATTAAGGTGTAAGTCGACAAAGATAATGACATGATCGAATTGAACTCAGATGCTGCAGGACCACTGAAACTTCCGTGATGTAACTGCGACCATTGTCAGGATCGACTACTAAAATGGACGGCTTCAGTTAAGAAACCAATCACTCAATCTTTGAAGATATCTTCCGGTAGTGGTATACTCCAGAATGAGAACTATTTAAAGGCTATCGAGCGTTTTTTATCAACATGACCAACAATATATCATAGTAACATAAAACATTGTCTATTCAATTTTCAAAATTCTATGGAATGCAATATGAGTCTCTTTAGAAAATCTGCTTGTGTAATGCTCGATAAATAGGTCCAGCTGAAGACCATGGAAATATGAAACAAAAATTACTCCTTTTGCTTGTACTGTCGTTCCTAACAACAAAAATATGCTTAAACGAATGCAGTAGAACGTAGGTTATTAATATCATCATATTCTTCATTATTTTAACTTGAGTACTAAAAACATGTGATAGGGGTATTTTCGCAACCGACTATCTTTGAAAACCTAGAACTACTGGACAGTCGTTTCTTTGAAGTATAAGACTACAAAGCCATGTTATACACAGTTCTTCGAAACTCAAACCAAAGAACGTCGGCCTCACGCCTAAAAAATAACATTCATACTACCAACCTGACATCCAACAACGTTAATGTCCAATTTCAATCAGGCCATGGTCTAGAGAGACCCATCATCCCTTCCTCCAGGTGTTTTTATTGGTCTCAAACTTGATACGGAATGAACTTCACGGCTCACGACTTCATAATTTTGTGATAATGTTATCTTTAACTGAAGGTAAGGAACGCAGAGTTAGGGAACATAGTGTGTTTTACTGCTATAAGTCTAGTGATTTCTCATAACAAAGAACAAGGTACTCTTACAACGAACTTCAATCAGTTTACTTATTATTGTTGATCACTTTTGGAGGTAAGATTATTTAAAAATATTAACCGAAATCATCAAGGTTTTTCAGACTAAAGATTGATTTCAGTTGATATCTTGGTTCTTAGGAGGGGTAGAGAGCTTAATTCATATATTGATTGAATTTTTCATAGACATTTTACATCTTAAAATGATGTTTGATTGGTAAATGTTAAAGAAGTCGTTTACAAAAAGTGAGTATGATGGATTAGTGATTTTAGATTGAGAATTGTTATAAAGAATGATTGTTATTATCCCAAAAAGACTAAATTTGGAAATAGAGAATTCCGACATAGACATCGAAATGACTGAAGATGTGAATCGATGTGAGTCGTACAGACTTAGTCCATAATCATACGTGCATATAGTAGTAAATGTTTTAGAAACTAGTTAACAGAGTAAAGTGTCAAATTTTTCAATCTCACTTCAAGTTCTTCTATGTTTACTCTTTGTTTAGTTTCACTGTAGTACTCATTTGTATAGAGTAGTTTGAGTTAGTTTCATTGATTTAATTGTCCTTCATGTGTAATTCGTGTTATTTGTTCTTAGCTTATCCTATTTCGTGAAGTAATTTATCCACTTCTGATCACTTGTATAATTCAATTTTCGTAACATTAAGTGTTTAGGAGACTGCCTAATTTTAAACGTTGTGAATAATCTACTTCTATTCGTCAGTAATGTTTCTTCTTGTCAAAATCGAGTATTGTTCATTGACTGTAATGTATCATTGTAATTAATTAAAAGATTGGTTTTCTTCAACGACATTTTTTCAGTGTAGTCGACACAATGAATACTTCAGCATTCAAGACACATCGATACTTTGTGTTTATGTTGCTTTTTCATGAAAATATCTTGTTTCCGATGCACTGCCTCAACATAATAGATTACACTCAAAATACATCATGACTATGACGGGACCTATATTGATACCAAAGAGATAATCTGAGCATGTTATGATTCAATGGTTTTCTAAAACAATTAGCGTATCGGATGAAACCAAAAAATATAATCCATGTGTGATTGACTTTTACAATCCCTTAAG